GGCTCCAAAACCGTGAACCGAACCGAACCGTGCCTTTTGTGTATCGTTACACCCCTACTCAATATGGTAAGAATTCATCATTTTATATTGCTTGGGATGATTTTGTAAGGGCGTGCATTTGCATAAAATATACTAAATCAATCACGAGCATTGATAAATGCAGTACAGCAAAGATACAAACTAAATAAACATTATTTTATACATTTCTGGAATTTAATCAAATGTAAAATGACCCTGTATAGTCTTCATTATTTATAAATACAATTACAGTTTCAGTTTTTTAAAGTTACAAACATTATAGTTCTGCTTGCCTGAATGCTTGACATTGCAGATGCTGGGATGTGACTATTGCTGGTGCACACATTGCTATATCGATGCTGAAACGATATATTGTGCAGCCCTACTGTAATAAAACATTTATAGGCATAATTATATACAGACATGCATTAAAATTAAAGCTTTAAAAGCATAATTAAAGAGTAAATATTGATGTACCTACCGAATCTCTGTTGTGTTCTCCACTTGACGCTCACTGTTGTTTGTTTGTTCTAGCAGTGCATCTTATTAGGAAAGATCTTGCACACATTAGCAAAGATGTTTCATCTACTTTCATTTATTTTCTCTCTCCCCATGTCACTTTGCTCCCATAACTGTGATCTGGGCTTTTATAAACCATCCGTTTCTAATGGGAGGAATGTTCTTGTTTTTGTTTTTCTCTGCTATGGGTCGTTGATTTGACCTCTGGTGCCCATTATCGCCACCCAAATGGGTGTTAATTAGATTCTGGAGGGGAAATTGATGCAGCCGGAGATGAGATGTGCTTAAGTGTCTGTCATGGGGTGATTAATTAATGATGGGCTATATGATGGCCACCAGATAGAGGAGCCTGTCCAGACATGACTGACTCTGGACTGTTAATCTGCTAATGAGGTCCACTGATAGATGAGCTGATAGGTTATAACACGACCATACTCTCTCTGTTGGATTAGCTCAAATCCACAAGTTGGAAAAATTGACACGGACTATGTTTACATAAACATCAGTAATCAAATTGTTTGCCTTAATCTGAATAAGACAATATTATGATTGAGGTGTTTACATGAGTTGCTTTTTGAATGTTCCTTTCGTGATCCTGTATTGTGTGTTATAGTACATCATTCGATTATCGTCATTGAGTCACCATGCTATCCATAATTTTAATAAAAACTGCAGTTTTTACACTTACACTTCCATTTAGGAATGTTTCATACATATACGGCTGTGACGGTCACCGTGATGGTCAGTTGCCACCGTGGTTATTCATTGCCACCGGCGGTAGTACGTGATGTCGCGCACTTTATTACCTTTATTACAAATTACCGTTATGTTGCCAAGTATTACATTTCTGTTAGAATATAACATTAGGCGCGATTCAGCAATATCAAGTTCAACCCTGAATCTTGTTGGAAAACCAAATATTTCATGTGGTGTCATTTTGGATTCGTGCCGACTGAGAAAGGTAAACCAATTCATTTAGATTAAGCTCTTTGTAGGGTTTGTTTTTTTTAAGTGTTAAAAAGTGTCAAAGTGTTGTTTAATATTCACTGCTGAGAGTCCAAACACTGAAGAGCAAATCCATCCATGCGCAGCTCCACGGGTCCCCAACCATGCAAGCCAGTGGCGATTGACGGCGGCGAGTGAAAAAAAGCCACGTAGGCTATAATCAACTTCTTTCTTCTAAACACAAACGCCCAGCTAGTCAGCCAGGCATGGCATTTCCAACAATGGCCAGATACATAAGAGAAAGTGATAAATGGAGGACATTGACGAGAAATGGAGCAAGATATTTGGTATCTAGTTAAGAACGCGCCGCTCCGCAGTGTAGAGTAACCTGCTTTTCGAGAAATGTGGGCGGCAGAACAATGAAGCAAGAAACCCTCTCGCACGGTTGTGAAAAAGTATACGTTCATTTGCGCTACAAGCACACCGTCTGAACGTGTATTCCTGGAAACATAACCCTAATTAGGTCTTCACTTAAACCGAACACGGTCAACGTGTGGCAAAGAATTTAACAATATAAATAGAAAACAAAAGATGGAGAGAACTTACACTATTTTTTAAACGTCTGACTTGTATTGTTACTAGTATTAATATTCTTATAATTATTACTATCTATATTATTACTGATTAGTAAAGCGTCATTTATGCTATTTGTGAAATTCTTAAAAATATAACGTTTAAAGTTATTTAATATTTAACTACAATATTTATAAACAGTATTGTTTTATTACGAAAGGTCAAAAATAAACACGTACGTTTAAACGTATGTTTTGTTAATTAATATTTATTTGGGTTATAAGTTATTTCTTAATTTTTACATAAAAGGAAATGAACTTGGATAGGATTCTTTTATTTGTTGGTGGTACGGGAGGAACATTTTTGCCGGTGAATGTTCTCACGATAAATAAAATAACTTGCGAAAAGGATGCTATAAAAAATTATAAAATAAAAAACAATAAAACAATAAAAGCTCTTAATCATTCTTCATAATCTGATTCGTACATGCAATAAACTTATATTGCGCCGACAAGAACAAGCCCTAAAACAAAGTCTAGAGAGAGAAGAGTTATTAATATGTAATTAATATTAGTTAATAATAATGATCATAAACACGAACTGTGTTGTATGATAAACGCCTTCACAATGTCTTGATTTTTTTTCTCAAGAACAGATAATCCATGTTATCGCCGTCTCCCCAGCCAGGTTTTCATCTTTTTTTTTTTCTTCTTGTTACAAATAATAAAGTATCAGCTCCAGACCAGTGGTTTAAATTATATTTACTCCTTATTTCTTTCCGTTTTATTTAAAAAAAACTGTTTGAAGAAAAAAATGTTAAAAGTGTTGTATTGCATTACATATTTTAATTCTATTTCTGTTAAGTATTATGCCTTTAGTTGGATTAAGGTCATCAAAAATTGCTGTTTACATGACAGACTCTTAATCAGAGTATTGTCTTAATTGTATTAAAATCAGATTATTAGTGTCCACGTAAACATACTCATTGTTGAGTATGAGATCCGTTTTCTGGCTCCCCCCAAGTTTCTAATGAGCAAGGTTATTTTAGTAAACGAAAACAAAGACTAAAATGATTGGTCTAAAAACATTTTTGTTATCTGAAATGTCACAATAAATGGAAAAACTAAATAAAACTAACAACAATCACTGAATAACTAATTAAAGTTAACTAGAAATTTTCAAATATATATATATATATATATATATATATATATATATATATATATATATATATATATATATACATATGTGTGTATTTTATTTTATTTTTTCAGAATAAATAAGCACTCGTTCTGTGATGGATAATCTGTCCCGCAGTTGTTTACAGGAGAAAATCATATTTTGTTTTTATATTATTTTTTGCATTTGATATATTTTTGGCTTTAAAGTTTTTTTTATTTCAAATTCTTTCATTCCGTACTAAGAGGTTTACTTTAGGTTTAATGTGATCTATGCGTACACAAAGATTTGCTTTGGTCTACACTGGACGTGTTCTGTTAACTCTGACAAAATAGAATTACCAAGGCCCGTTTACACGAATACATTTTTAATTTAAAACAGCATTTTAGAATAAAAACGATCCACATCCACACTGACGTTTCATCTACTGCTTTTAAAAAAAGGTCTCTGTCTAAACTACACAGCTGAAAACGCACATCACGTGACCATACATGCACTTTGGCATGTGCCAAGAGCTGCTTCAGCGTATTCTTGCATCTGAGCTCCAGGCAGGAGCTCTGACCTCACCTGCCTGAACATCGGCCAGTCCATCCTGAATCTGCCGCTGGATCTCATCTCTCTGTAGTTGTTAAACACAATCTATAATTCATCTTGTGTAGACATACATCTAATGAGTCAGTCTTTTGAATCTTGTAGCCTCTTTGTTCTCAGGAGTGCAGAGATAGGCTAATATTATTGTATGTGACATTTCTGTAACCATGCACACTGATTTCATACATGACCAATTGCTTGCCTTAATTTCCTATATTGTATAAACTTATTGTGCTTTATACTTTTATAATTATTATTGATCATTAAATTTATAGCTTACTGATTATTATATTCAGCAAAAGAGACTATTTCGTATTTCAGCATGCATTTCCTCTGATAATCTTTATTGGGTGCAAAAATCTCCAATCAGTTAGCGCGAATGTCGGAAGCCACGCCTCCTTATTCAGATGTCTCCGTTTTCCCCATCCACACTGACATGCAGCAGCAGCTTTTTAAAACGAAAAGGGCCTCTTTAGCATTTCCAAAACGCTCTGTTTTCAGGGTTCGAAAAACTTTGGGCTAGTGTGGACTGAAAGCTTAACCGTTGCAAAACTGATGCGTTTTGAAACCAAATAAATTTTGTTGTAAACTCTTCAGCATAAGAAACTTTGAGTTTGTTTTGCAGCGTATTTAAGTAATGTCCTCTTTTAGAAATGATATCAGTGTTTCCTCTAGGATTTTTTCCAGCTGTGGTGACAGACATTTTTTTACACAGATCTACTAACTACCTGTGGCGTTATTTCAATGACAAATGTCGTGAGCGCAGTATTGAGTCGAGATTGCATTTATGTAATAGCCTACAAGCATGCAAATCTCTGCTCGTGCGCCAATTTCCTCTGCATCACGCACCTGTCAGTCAGTCAGCACGCAACCTTTAAGGGTTAAATAAATAACGCACAGCACTACTACGGTTACAGAAATGTTTGCGCTGTTATAATTTACTTACCTTTTAATACGTTTTTGTGCGATTATCACCCCCTATTAAAAAAAAAAAAACATGACTGAATGTTTTGAATGGAAAGCTGTAATCTCACAATGGCGGGATCAATTTTGGCGTGGCGCCCCGCCATGAAAGAATGAATGTAGTGTAAACCATGGATATATTGGATGTTGTGTTTTACGCCGTTTTCTCTAATTTACTTATCTAATCTTGGAGATTTTTCTATTTGTCTTAGAAAGAGAAAAGCTGATGAAGTAGATGGAGGAGTCTCTAAAAAACAGAAGAAAGAAGATGAAAAACTAGAGCAGAATCTGAAGGTATGGTTTTTAAATCAGTTGAAGATTTTATTTTTATCTTACATGATGGCACATTTGATTGCATTTTAATTTACTATTATTACTTATTTTTCTGTAGTACATATGTAATAAAACCTGTAATAAGACCTGTCCATTTTATAATAGTTTCATGTGTCTGTGTCATTCAGATGGTTTGCTTCCAGTGATTAATACTACTGATATTAGAAAATATATATTTTAGAATATACATTCAGCGGCCACTTTATTAGGTACACCTTACAGGTACTGGGTTGGACCGCCTTTTGCCTTCAGAGCTGCCTTAATCATTCGAGGCATAGATTCAACAAGGTACTGGAAATATTCCTCAGAGATTTTGGTCCATATTGACATGATAGCATCACATATCCATGATGCAAATCTCCTGTTCCACCACATCCCAAAGGTGCTCTATTGGATTGAGATCTGATGACTGTGGAGGCGATTGGAGTACAGTGAACTCATTGTCATGTTCAAGAAACCAGTCTGAGATGATTCACTCTTTATTACATGGTGCGTTATCCTGCTATAAGTAGCCATCAGAAGAGGAGTACACTGTGGTCATAAAGAGATAGACATGGATAGCAGCAATACTCAGGTTGGCTGTGGCATTGACATGATGATGAGTTGGTACTAATGGGCCCAAATTGTTCCAAGAAAATATCTCCCACATCATTACACTACCACCACCAGCCTGAAGCGTTGATGCATGGCAAGATGGATCCATGCTTTGATGTTGTTGGCGCCAAATTCTGACCCTATTAACCAAATGTCGCAGGAGAAATCAAGACTCATCAGACCAGGCAATGTTTTTCCAATCTTCTATAGTTCAATTTTGAGATGGTTGTGCATGAAAATCCCAGAAGATCAACGGTTTCTGAAATACTCAGACCAGCCCATCTGGCACCATGCAACATTTAAAGTCAATTAAATCACCTTTCTTCCTCATTCTGATGCTCGGTTTAAAGTGCAGCAGATCGTCTTGACCATGTCTACATGCCGGAGTTACTGCCATGTGTACAGGTGTACCTAATAAAGTAGCCAGCAAGTGTATATCAGCCTGTTAATGCTTTTTTTCTAGGATCAAAGCCAGCTGATCTGGGGAATTAAGGACAAGCTGAAGAAGTTCTGCTCCATCAATGACATGAAGGAACTGCTAATTGCTAACAGTCAGGAAGTTCCTTCTGGGGAGTCAAATGTAAGAATGCAATACAGAAAATCTGTATATATGTGTATGTATATATATATATATGTGTGTATGTGTATATATATATATATGTATATATATATATATTACACACACACACACACACACATTGCAGTGATAAATGAATAAACCGTTTTTGCACTGATTATTGGCTGATTTAGCACTAGAATAATAAAATGACAGCAGGTGGCAGCAAGTCTCTTTCTTAAGATATTTCAAAAAAGGATTTACTTTTTTACGAGGATTTTACCAATAACCTTTTTGCCTTTCCAATACTGATTCTGATACCTAAGCTCAGGGTATCAGCCAATATTAAGTACAGATCCGCTACCTGTGCATAGAAAAAGTTGCTCTAGAGTATTTTTATGAGCAGATGTTTAACAGTAATATTATTTACTGTACTCTACTGCAACAAGTTTAACCACAAATCTGTAAACAACCATTGTAAACAAAAATCTATTGGTCACCTATTGGTTAAATAATGTAGGTGCTGCCTACAACTTTAATTTTTGAGCGTCATTAAATGCGTATAATAATGATTTTAATCTTGTCCATGAACATCAGTGGTTTTATCTAAACTATAAACTGTAATGCCAGTTGTGCTATGTTATTTGACTGTAACTTCATAACTAACTCAAAAGACTAAAGACTGAATCTCTTTCTTGATTTTTGCGTTTTCAGATTTGAATGCAGCGATTCGAAGGATTAATAAACATTTGCATATCACTATCATTTATAATTTGTTGCGTGTGTGTTGAGATGCTGATATTTTAATGATTAATTGTGCAGTTTACATTGAATGCATAAATGCAGGCTAAACAAGTAGTGACAAAAACACCTTTAACGAAACCCACCACATTCTGAATAACCTACCATATCTTGTTCCGTCATCATTATATTTTACAGAAAAGAGCTGATCTCTGTTATCATTACAAATTTAGGATTAATCTACCTGTGTGTGTGTGTGTGTGTGTGTGTGTGTGTGTGTGTGTGTGTGTGTGTGTGTGTGTGTGTGTGTGTGTGTGTGTGTGTGTGTGTGTGTGTGTGTGTGTGTGTGTGTGTGTGTGTGTGATATAGATGTCAATGTCTGCTTATTTTCCAAATTTTCCTCAGCATAATTTTTTGTCTTTATGAATCGATTAGTAAAAAAAAACAAGTTTAATTCAGGAACAAAACATACCAGTGTTGCAGAGATGCAGAGGTTATGCTGTCTTTGATGAGAATTATTTTTACATTTTTCTTTGTGTTTGTTTTTTTTAAGTGAGAGACTGATTCCATAATGTCAGCTTGCACTATTTTAGCAAATATATGTTCATAATTGATGATAAACCGTTCTGGTTTTTTTTTTTTGTTGTTGTAGTTGTGATTTCTGTAATGAATCATTCCTTTCATATCTTTTCTGTAATGAATCATTTCTGAAATGACTTTGTAATTGACAGATTGTGGATCGACTATCAGACTGCATGGCATTTGGGTCCCTGAAGCCTTGTGAGACTTGCAAAGGGCAGCTTGTGTTTAAAAGTGATGCGTATTACTGTACTGGAGACATCTCTGCGTGGACTAAATGTGTATTCAAGACTCAGACGCCTGATCGCAAAGACTGGGTCACCCCTAAGGTTAGTAGACCTGTGTGTAATGTGAATTTTAGCACTTGTTAGTAGTTCACTCAAAAATGTAGATTGATCTCTATTTTCTCTCCTTCAAGCGGTTCCAAACCTCTGAGTTTTAAAAAAAAATAAGTTATTTAAAAAAATGTTGAAAACCTAATTTGGATTCAAATGAAAAACAACTGAAACATATTTGGAACAAGTGGAAAATGAGTAAATGATGACAATTGTAAACTATTTTTTTATTATCCTGATATTAACAAGCCCTGTACGTCGGAACATTTACATGAAAAAACTTCCAGGCGCTGCTCTTGTGGCGACTGGTAGACTTGCGTGCATGTTTCAGTTTGTTGTTTCGTCACCTTGGGGACTTTTAAAGTACTTTTTAAAAGTAAATATGATAAATATGTGGAAAATTGTTCTTTTGATGCTGCTAATTATTTGAGGAAATGCGGTTTTGGCGAATGAAGGAGTTGACAGGCTTGCCACTGATGATGAGGGAGTTTTGGCACGTTGCTGTGTCAGAATCCTTGCTTGTAAAATATAGCCATGATATGACGAACACGATCGTGCGTGTTGATGAATCTGAAGGAAGTTGCTCATCGGCACGTGCCTATGTGAGTGCGCGTTCCCTAAGCAGCAAAAATAAACGGCTAACATCGCCAACAAGTTGTTGAGAATTAAATGTTTATGTACGGTGTAACAAAACGCGTACCTGTGTGCCTTTGATATACCCCTTGATGATGCTTACCTTCTTGTTGAAGAAATAGGGGCACTGGAATAAGGCACCGAAATTCATATGCTGATTTGGCATGTTGCATACCAGTTACATAGGTGCTATAATGGCACTGGGTTTCGGTACCCAACCCCACTAAAATATGAACACATGAAATAGAAAAATCCCTTTTTCACTTTTATTTAAAATTTTCAATGCAAATCTTATTACTTTAACCACTTATTTGGTAAACAAAGCAAGTCTCTGATATAATATAAATGCAAAAAAAAAAGAAAATTTGACTTTACTAACTGTGTTGTACGGCACTTTTTAAAATGTATTTGTTTATTCGACATAAGCATCACACTTACACTGGACAAACCAAATGCATTTGTTTAAGTCAGATACACATCTGCATATCATTCAATACTATTACTGACATTAAAAACTGAATTAAAAATGTTTACACATGTTTACATAATTAGATATGGTTCAGATCTTTGAAAATTACAACCAAAACGTCATCTTGACGGCAAGGTATATCGGCATTATTTTCAATACGCTGATGCCAATATTTACAATTTAAGCCATTATCAGCTTATTAATCTGAAACTCTCTTCCCTATATTATCTTATCCAGAATGAGGTAAATATTGAATTTACTAATGAACATGTTAAAATACTGTTATTCCTCTTCAGGAGTTCAGTGAGATCCCGTTCCTGAAGAAGTTTAAGTTCAAGCGACAGGACCGTGTGTTTCCTAAAGACGCTCCTCCCGCTGCTGCCACTCCATCATCTGGTTCTACCACTTCAGCTGCCACAAGTGTGTCCAGCGCCAGTAAAAACCTCACTGAGGCACCTGCAGGTCAGACACAAATGCACAGATGCTCACTCTTTCAACAGCAGATGCATATGCAAATAATTATAGGAAATTGGATAAATTTTGTATTGCTTGTATACGATTCATTATTTTGTTATAAATAAATGAACAGGAATAAAAATGTTTCATGCAATATTTATAGATGAACTTTTATTTAATATGTTGAAAGCCAGGTTAGGTTTTATTTAAAAAAATAAATAAAAATCAAACAATGGTTATTATTGTTTAAAGCAATAACACTAAATCTAGAAATTATGCAGTTTAAATGTTTTTTTAAGCTAGGGTTTTTATTTGTTTATTTATATATATTTTTTTTTCATTTTGCAGTCTATTATCTCAACGTGTTTTTTATTTCATCCAATTTTTTACATTTTATTTCAGGTTTATTTGTTAAATTTTTTTTGTTTTGTTTTAGTTAGCACACACAACTTGCTTTGAAACAAAGGATAAAACTAGTTCACAAAATTTTTTTATTTGTGTCTTTACAACTAGAATTGTTTTTAATGAAATTTTAGACAGTTTTTATTACTTATTATCTTAAAGCTGTTTTTATAGTTATAGTAATTTCAGTACTTTAATATTTTTCTTTCTTATGTACTATTTTGTATTTTTATTAAAACCATGTTTAATCATTTAGACACATTTAAAAATTGCACATTCATTGAATTGTACACAATCACTGTACATATACATTTGTAATTATGTTCATATCTATCTGCACACTTCTGATTATAAATAGCAACCTGTGATTTATTCATCTATCGTAAATATGTTTATAGTTAATACGACCTGTATATAATGATTATAGTACATTAATTTGTAAATATCACCATAGTTTTTCTATAACTGCACTTTATAACCTGTATCCTGCACTTGCTGCTATTGCACTCCTGGTTAGACCTAAACTGCATTTCGTTGCATTGTACTTGCACATGTGTAATGACAATAAAGTTGAATCTGATCTAATCTAAAATAATGTCTTGTAAAAAATCTATTAAATTATTGACTTTTCTAAATTTTTTTCATTTTATTTCAGGTTTATTTATATGGATAAAAAGCTAATTTAATTATTTTAGTTAACAGTAATGTAAATTAAACGCTGAAATTAAAGAAATGTTGCATTTTAATTTGTTATAGTGAAAATATGTAGTTATAACTTTATTTACATCTCAAATCTATTTTCTAATCATGTTTTTGCAGTGTGTTTTTATTTTTCACTGTTTTTCATCCCTGTTTTTTTATATTCGATTTCAGCTTTTATTTAACAAATAGGATTTAAAGGAACAAATAGGTTTGTTATGGTTTAAGCTAACAGTAACAACATTGAAATACAATTCTGAAATTAAAATATGCAATATTTCACATTACTTGGCTAAACTGACTGCGAGATGAATGTAGAAATGTGTGTATGGACACCCAGCTGATGTAACAATGGCCAAATACTGAACTGTCATCTTTACATTTATTATATTCTGAAGGGCTGAAAATTGACTGTAGTTATATGCTCATTTTATAAACAAAGTGTATTGTTTGTCATCATGTGTTTTTTAGATAAGCCTCTGACTGGAATGAAGCTCCTGGCTGTGGGAAAGCTCAGTAAGAACAAAGATGATCTGAAGAAATTTGTGGAAGATCTGGGAGGAAAAATCACAGGCACGGCCAGCAAAGCTGCTCTCTGCATCAGCAGCAAGAGTGAGTGATGATCAAACTCCAGCAAGCTAACTACACACTATTTTTGTTCACTGTGCAGACTGAATAAAATAAGTGATGCCCAGTGTAATGCAAATCTAGCTGTCCTATATTTGCTAATAGTAAAGCACAGATCTTGATTTTACATGCATGATTCTGTTTGCCATATTTTTTTACAAGCCTTTTTCCCCTCTTGTTTTAATGAAACTAGAAACAAGAAACATTCAGTATGAGTAAGCAATAATTTTCTTTATCACAGTCTACATTCTTTGCAGATTTAGTCAAAATCCACAAAAATAGACTAAATACATTAGCTTGTACATAAAGTGGTTTAAAATGTAAAGAAAAAGCACAGTGGTCTGGTTTTAGTTTGTGAAATTATGCTTGGTAAAATATTGCTGTACAAAATAAAAAAACAAAGGCAGGCTGAATGAAAGTGCTGTGTACAAGTGGTCCTAATCCACTTGATAAGTCGTGTCATATGAAGTATTGTTTCCGGGACCAAGCCGCTGCCCTTTTGAATTGAGAAAATATTTGTTTATGAACACTTTTTAGTCCCATCACTCATTCAAGTGAATTTATACAAAATCTTGGTGTACCTACCAGTCTCCGGACTTGCTGCATCACAGACACCAATATTTTAACAATTTATAAAGGAATACTCACTTTCTAGCCATCTGATATTAGGCAAGAATTTATATATACACTCAGTGGCCACTTTATTAGGTACACCTTAGTAGTACTGGGTTGGACCCTTTTTTGCCTTCAGAACTGCGTTAACCCATCATGGCGTAGATTCAACAAGGTACTGGAAATATTCCTCAGAGATTTTGGTTCATATTGACAATGATCCTATCCCAGCACATCCCAAAAGTGCTCTATTTGAATTGAGATCTGGTGACTGTGGAGGCCCTTTGAGTACAGTGAACTCATTGTCATGTCCAAAAAAACAGTCTGAGATGATTCACGCTTTATGATATGGTGTGTTATCCTGCTGGAAGTAGCCATCAGAAGATGGTTACACTGTGGTCATAAAGGGATAGACATGGTCAGCAACAATCCTTGGGTAGGTAGCTCGAACCAGTCTGGCCATTCCACTCTGACCTCTGGCATCAAGGCATTTGCGCTCACAGAACTCACACTGGTCACTGGATATTTTGTCTTTTTCGGACCATTCTCTGTAAACCCTAGAGATGGTTTGGCATGAAAATCCCAGTAGTTCAGCAGATTCTGAAATACTCAGACTAGCCCGTCTGGCACTAACAACCATGCCACGTTCAAGGTCACTTAAACCACCTTTCTTCCCCATTCTGGTGCTCAGTTTGAACTGCAGCAGATCGTCTTGACCATGTCTACATGCCTAAATGCATTGAGTTGCTGCCATGTGATTGGCTGATTAGAAATTTGTGTTAGCAAGCAGTTGGACAGGTGTACCTAATAAAGTGGCCGGTGAGTGTATTCATCAGATGGCTCATGTCAGTTTATAGACAAACCAGCTGATCAATGCGACTTTGAAATTTGCCAGTGTCCCTGTATCTGTGGTTGCACTCAGTAAACAGCAGTGAGTTCAGTGAACTGATGATCTTCACGGCCAATCACAGTCATTTCTGTTGAGCATGTGAACACTAGCAAATCAGCAGAGGTTAAGAATGCACTCAACAGTGCTTAAATGTTAGCAGGAAATGGAGGCTTTTTAAAATTTCAGTATTGATTGGTACTGAATTCAGTAACGTGACAACCCTGCCTTAATTACAATATTTAAAATGTTTACAGATTGATTTTTTTTTCTGATCTCATAACTTGTAAAACATAATTATATTTTAATAGAATATTAACTTGTACTTTCTATGTAAATGTACTATTTGAGTTTTTCTGCAAATGCCACATCCATAACACTGGAATTGCTCATGTGCTCTCAGATTTTTTTTTTCAGCTTATGTATTTGTTGTTGTTCAAACCTCATTAATGTTCTGATCTGTTCCTGCCTTCCCTCAGAGGAGATTGAGAAGATGAGTAAGAAAATGGAGGAGGTGAGAGACGCAGGTGTCCGCGTGGTGGCTGATGATTTCCTTACTGACATCAAGGAGTCCGGCAAGGCCCTTCAGGAGCTCATCTCTCTGCATGCCATTTCCCCCTGGGGCGCTGAAGTTAAAGTCGAGGCCCCGGCTGCAGCCGCGGCCACCAAATCCACCGGAGCTCATTCCTCAAAGAGCACCGGCAAAGTCAAAGAGGAGGAAGGTTAGACATGTCTGCAGATTTACGTAGAAAGTAACTGATACAAAGGGATAGTTCAAACGAACATGAACATTTACTCACCCTTAAGTGATTTCAACACTATAAACAAGCTGTTTCGAATAATGTTAGAAACCTGTAACCATTGACTTACACAGAAGGAATAACAAATGCTATTAAAGTCAGTGGTTACAGGTTTGCAGCATTTTTCTAAATAACTTTTTATTTCAACAGATGAAAGAAATTCAAAGCTGTTTTGAATAATCCTGAAAACCTGTAACCATTGACACCCCATAGTATTTGCTTTTCCTACTGAGGAAGTCAATGGTTACAGGTTTTCAGCATTTTTCATAGTAACTTATTTTGTGTTTAACAGAAGAATCTCAACGCTGTTTGAAAAAAATCCTGAGAATCTGTAACCATTTACATCCCCAGTAGGAAAAACAAATACTATGGAGTGTCAATGGTTACAGGTTTTCAACATTTTCAAAATATCTTATTGTGCATTCAACAGAAGAAACTCACAGCTGTTTTGAAAAATCCTGAAAACCTGTAACCATTGACATCCACAGTAGGACAAGCAAATACTATGGAAGTCGATGGTTACAGGTTTTGGTGTTCAATAGAAGAAAGAAACTCAAACCGGTTTGTGACAGGGGAATGCTAATTAAATGATGAACGAAGTTTTGGGTGAACTATCCATTTAACATCAGAAATTGCTTGAGATTTTAATCATTTATTCATTCATGAATTATTAAATCATACTTTACAAACTTGGGACGAAATAAATATTGATTTTACTATTGTTTATAATTAATAAACAGTTTGTTGTATCCTTTGGTTTATAGTGGTATTCTGTTTAAATAAATCGAACAGATTTCAGAAGTGGTTATAAAGGTGTCTTCTGAAGGAATTTTAGAGTACTTATCATTGATCAAATTGAAAACTTATGACTTTTTATCAGTGAATTGGGTAAGCTAAATTGTCCGTAGTGTATGTGTGTATGTCCTGGTCCTCCAGGTTGGAGATTAAGCGTTGGACTAATGACCCACCTCGTAAAAATTTGATATTACGAAACACCAACATGGTGCGGCTAAATATCAACTTAGATATAAACGGTCCTGGAAGTGTTATTATTATTATTTTATGGTGATTATTTAGTTTTTGTTTCTGAATACTTTTTGACTCCACAGAAAATCGTAAATCATTGGTTGTTTTGTATCTGTTGTATTTAAGTTTGCTTGTCATTTTTAAAATCATGTTACAGAATGTACTTGCAGAATCATCATATTCGATCTAAAATGATAAATATCGCAATATATATTGCAGTAATTAAAATTATTGCAATGCCAGTTTTTTCCAATATTATCCAGCCCTAATTTGTATGTTTTTTTTTGTTTGTTTTTTTTGTAAAACGAATAATTAAGAAACAGATATGATTGCAAATTATATATTGAATATTACTACCAGTGTTGTCAAGAATGTAGCCAATGCTCCTGATATGGCATTAAAACATAAATAAATAAATAAATAACAGAATATAGAAAAGCACTTGCATGTTTTTTTAAATAATTTGTAAATCTTAAAATTACTTATTTTACCTTCCTGCTTAATAAAAACCCTATTTTCTTCTTCCTGCAGGTGGAAGCAAATCAAAGAAAATGAAGCTGACAGTGAAAGGAGGAGCTGCAGTAGATCCAGATTCAGGTGATTAACATTTTCCCCCATATCTCATTCAGGCGACTCTGAATATTACATATGGTCATGTACTGTTTATTCAGATCTCTAATCACGGTTTGATTGTTCAGGTCTGGAAAACTGTGCTCATGTTCTGGAACAGAATGGAAAGATTTACAGCGCCACACTGGGTCTCGTGGACATCGTCAGAGGGACAAACTCATACTACAAACTACAGCTGCTGGAGGATGACGTTCAAAAGCGGTGAGCTTTCTGAAGGATTCCTATTGTACAAACATTTATTCTTAAACACAGTGATTTTCTTTTTGTAATTTCAAACTTTGTGTTTTTCTTAGACTTTTTAAGAAGGTCTTTTAACAAATGCCTGCTTTAAAACCTTGCAGATGTGTATGTTTTTTCATATTTCTTTAGAAAAGTGTTAAAATAGGGTACAATTTTATGTAGGATAATCAATACAACCTTTTGGCATTTTGCATGTATTTTGTGTGTTCTAATTCTTTCATTTTTATATATTGAACATTTATAACTTCATTTTATTTCAAGTTGTGAATATAGTATTATTAAATGAATAAAGTAGTTTGAGGGTGCTTTCACATCTGTAGATCAATTGTTTAGTTCGGAAAGTTTCTAATGGACCAAAATAGTTAAAACAAGTCACTTGTGTGAGTTTCAGGGTTTATTTTTCAGAGTTATTCTTATTTATGATGATGATAAATGAGACATTATAAGCAAAAAATGTGCACTTTAATTTTGACACCCACAGACATTGTCAATAAATATAAGTCAGAGAGGTAAGACTTTCTCATACATGGCCTCATTTTAGTAAAAATCTATTTATTGAATCAGTCAAACTTTTGAAAAAAAAAACTGGTTCGAATTCTGCACTATAGGCTTAAATTATAGAGAGAAATAACAGATGAACCAAGTCTGCAGTCAGATCACAAAGCAGATCAATGTTGATCTTTCTTTTGAGGTGTGAGTGCAGAAATGAACAAAACAACAGGCTTAATACAACATATTATAAAACTAAAATATGGAAAAAGCTATTGAATGTTAATTTTGGTACATTTTTCTAACACATAAACAGCTCTGTAAAATTTCAGCATGCTTTCACTTTCGTATTCGACTTGAAATGCACATTTACAGGTAGGAAGGACATCTCACCCTTCTCATAATTCTCTCTTCATATAGTCGTATATATGCCTATTGCATATACATAATACACTGTGATATAGTCTGGTTCATTAGTTTGTTGGATCGCTTTGCTTTCTCTCTGCAATCGATCTGCACCCTAATATTACAAAAAAAGATTTTAATGATTTTTTTTATCGTTGTTATTATATCTGTCACTACTGCTTTGTCTGTTTTATCTGTATTATATATTTAGTTATTTATCTTTGCGTCTAAAATGGATAAATAAAAATTATGATCACACTTTACATTAAGGTTTCATTAGTGTATTTGACGTGAACTAATTAGGAACAACACTAGTACAGCATTTGTTAAACGTAGTTCAACATTTAGTAATGCGTTATTAATATCCAAATTCATGCATGTTAACTCTAGTTAATGACGAGCTGTATTTTCATCAACTTACATTAAATAACATGGACAGATGCTGTAATAAATGCATTTTTCATTGTTTGGTCGTGTTAGTTTATGCATTAACTAAGATTAACTAATACAACCTTACTGTAAAGTGTTACCGAAAATACTATTAATCATAGTTTAACGTTTACTAATGCATTATTAAAATATTAGTTAATTAATTCAGTTCTGTTGAGTTGACAAGAACTAACAATGATTAACCTTTTGATTAACTAAAGTCAACAAAGATGCTGTAATGTTTTGTTCGTTGTTTGTCCATGTCAGTAAATGAATTATTACAACCTTATTGTAGTGTTGCAACCTCTTTGATGTTAGTCTAGGGTACAAGTAATGACATTTAAAAGGTGTGGTACTTTTACAAGATGATGGGTGAAAGTAAAAGACACAAACAACAAAACTGCCAACAAAAGTGATTTAATGTACAAAAAGTGAAATCAGAATAATGCCCAAATATATATACAATAAGGAAAATATTTACAATAATAATAAAGTAACAAATAAACAAAGTATCAAACTAAATTAGGTCAACTCAAGAGTAAGGGGACGCTGGTGAAGCCAAATCAAAGAAATAAATATAACAAAACAATTCTAACTCATAAGCAAACCCCTTACCTCGCTAGAAACATGAAAAGAAAAATCTTCAGCGCCGAGCGCCATAATCTTACTTATTCTGAACTAAAACAAAGCAAATACATAAGTGGCATTCACTTCTTTCTTGGGGTTTTAAACAATTGATTGACTACGTGTATGTAAGATGGAAGTCGTACGACATCTTCCCTGTCCACCTTACTGTGAGGACAAAGTCAACTCTCAATAATCTCTTTTTGTTTGCCAGGTAAGAGTTGTACCAAAAGTAACAAACAAACAATCGAAAATTAGATGTATAAAAATCACAAAGTAGTTCAAAATGGGCAGAAATAATACTAAATAATTTTATCCAAGCGAAAGTTCATCAAAATTAACGAATAACCAAATCATGTCGGCAAAAACAGGATCAAAGGAAAATCGCGCTGTCATCCGCTCTCCCTGGTGTCCTTATATGTGACAGCGCCACGTCACCCAATGATGAGTGACTGGTCTCCTGACCAATCGGCTTCCGCGAAGGAGGACCTAGAGGATACGACAGGTAGAGATGGGGAGAGAGAGAGAGAAAGAGAGGGAGGGAGAGAGAGAGAGAGAGAACGGGATGCCAAAAATCCCACCAATATACGGCAACCGTAACAGAAGAGTATCTAAATTTTGATCTATCTTTAGGGTATAAAAATCTTGGAGCAACATAACCAGAACTCAAAAAAAATATTCAGTTCATGAGCCGTTTAATTAATTATTAAGATTAGGCCACTTGTTTTGAACTCTTCTGTTGTTTTTTTTAGGTACTGGGTGTTTAGATCGTGGGGTCGAGTCGGGACCACCATTGGAGGAAACAAATTGGACAAGTTTTACGATAAGAACTCTGCTATGGACAATTTCTGTGGTGTGTATGAGGAAAAGACAGGGAATGCTTGGGCCTCCAGCAACTTCACAAAGTACCCCAATAAGTTTTACCCTCTGGAGATTGACTACGGACAGGTAAAAAATTAAGCAGCGCCTAACTAGAGAACTGTTGTAGTAGTAATAATATTATATTATACTAATATTCTAGTATAGTATACTTATATGAGTTTGATTTAAAATGCATTGCTAGAAATGTGCATGCTGTACACATTTGTTTTGAATATATTTCTTATTAGGGTCTGTCAACATGATTAAAAAAGATTGCAAAAATATATAATAATAATCTGAAGGTATATCAGAGAGATGGAAAAAAATCTTTCGTTCATTGTCCTAAAACTGTTATGTACATTTCCACACAATATCCTAGGATGAGGAGGCTGTGAAGAAGTTGACTCAAAGTGCAGGTGCCAAATCTCAGCTGGAAAAACCTGTGCAAGACCTCATCCGAATGATCTTCGATGTGGAGAGCATGAAGAAAGCCATGGTGGAGTTTGAGGTTTGTTCACGTCCCTTTTCTATCAAAATGATATCTGTGGTCAAAAGAAGTGTGATTGCAACAGGATGTCATTTTCCTCCTACAGATTGACTTGCAGAAGATGCCTTTGGGAAAACTAAGCAAGCGACAGATCCAGAGTGCTTATTCCCTTCTAAGCGAAGTTCAGCAGGTTAGTTTTAGTGGTCTTCATATATGTTCAGCTATGGGCGAGGGAAATAAGTTTCTCTGGTTTCTCTGGATTTGGTTTATTTATTAGGTATGAGTTTATAGTGAAATCATTATTTACTATGTATATTTTGATAGCACACATTGCTAGTCTTAGGATATACTCACACTAGGCTATCCCAACCGCGCCTGGGCAGGTTAAACCCCTATTTCCCGATGCCTTTTAAGTGTGAGTGCTCCGTATTGCGCCCGGGCGCAGTTCGGTTGGTCGACCCTGGCCCGGTTGGAAAAGATGGTTTGGAGGACGGTGCAAAGTGTGCCTGAACGTGAAACTGAAGATGCAATGTCACTTTTTAAAGGCCTGTTTTATATGGGTTTTTTAATCATTCTTACTTTTCAATGAACTCAAACTGTAATAGTTTATAAAAGATGCAAATCCCCCTTCACATCAGCTGCAGCTTCAACAAACCTAATATGTGCAGCACGATGACTTTCATGAAACTTTTCGAGCATCAAATATGGTGGATTTGACAGTGTCATCGCATCCTAAATTATTTAAAAAAATACAAAACAATATAACTTAAGCACTGTCCACTGTTCGAAGCGAGAGCACTTCTCTTCTGAACAGTTGCATCACCGATGATGTAAGTGTGCTCGGAAAGTGAAAATACACTGTACGATTGCGAGCCTAGTGTGAGAACACCCTTAAGGCAAACCATGTATTTTTTTGTAACCTTTAATTAAAAAAAAACCCTAATAAGATTATTCTTCAGTTGTTCTCTGTTGATGTCAATTTGCTGGATTGGGTGAAATATGCTTAGCCATGCTCCTCCAACCACTAGTTTGCTGTATGTTAAATATGAGGAGGAACGCAAAAATAAAAGCCCAGCGCACTACTCAATATTCTGTTGCATAACTGTAATGAAAAATCTTTTTTTTGTTGTGATTTTGAAAATTCGGGTTATTTTACCAAATATCGATTTATTTTCATCTGAAGTTCAAACATTGATGTTGGTGTTGCCTAAAGATGATAAAAACATCTAAAAAGATTTTAAGTAAGAACAATAATTAGATAAAAGCTCTTATTAAAATAATTATGAGAATAAATGCATCATTTTTATTTTACATTTGTAAATAAATTTAAATTTAAACAAAAATGAATAAATTAAAATAACATTTTACTCCGAATGTATACCTAAATTGTAAATCCAGAGAAACTTTTCAATTAATCTATAATTAATTTTTTCCATAGCTGTATGTTTGAAAAAACAGTTCATTAGCCTATGCTTCAAATAAAATCACCTTTATTTTTCATATTTTCCATTTCACGCTTTATCTTCTGTAGGCTGTGGCAGATAGCTCCTCAGAATCACTGATCCTAGATCTGTCTAATCGCTTCTACACACTGATACCGCACGACTTCGGCATGAAGAAACCACCACTATTGAGTAATGTGGATTACATCCAGGTAAGACTTGTGTAACCATCATAACATGTCTCAGTGAAGGCCTTATGGAGATAATTATGTACATTGACCTTGAGTGGTTTTAAAAGACGCCTTAAAGGTATTTTAATATTATAATTATTAATATTATTATTATGTACTCAAGCCTGTTGTGTATCCATAACAGCAAAAGGTGCAGATGCTGGACAACCTTTTGGACATCGAGGTGGCCTACAGCCTGCTTCGGGGAGGAGTGGAGAACAACGAAAAAGATCCCATTGACATCAACTATGAGAAACTCAAAACCAAAATTGAGGTAAAATGGCTTTGACTGCAAGAGCTATAAAGTTTTGTGTATGGTTACCACAGTGAAGTCGCGCTGTAGTGATTGATGTTGATTTGTTTTGTTTGCTTGTAGGTCGTCGACAAGTCTTCACATGAGGCTCAGCTTATCCTTCAATATGTGAAGAACACACATGCTGCTACTCACAACACCTACACACTGGATGTTGAGGAGGTGAGATTAAACACTCACTACATTTACATGGACATCAGTAATCTCAATTTTTCCCTTGATATGAATAAAACAATAAGATGATTATGGTGTTTACATGAGTTGGTTTTGAATGTTCCTCATGATCTCGAGCCACCACATTTCCTCCGGAGTTTCATGTAACTTTGGGTGTTTCATTTAAAAATTTTCGACTTGAACTACTAAACGCATCGACTTAATCCAGATGAGAATTTCTTTAACAGAAATCAGCTAAAGCTACTAAATCATCCACAAACCGTCTCAAAACTTGTTCATAATACCCTAACATTTGAGCCGCTTCGCTGATGTTTAAACTCCTGCTAAAATGAGCTTTGGCTTCCCGCTAATATTTTTCATTTACAAGTGAGAGCGGTCCAACGGCATTTTTTAACTCAATTTATTTTCAACTCGAGAAAAGCATTTGTCAAATGCCTCTTAAAAAAGCTATTTAAATTATGCATTTAATTGCATTTTAAATTATTTATTAATGCACTTTTTCATTGGTTGATTAATCAGCGGTTTAGGACATGAATTAAATAAACATTCATAAAATTGTCTATTTATTTATACATTTAAAAGTTATTTATAAATGCATTGTTTTATTGCTTTCATGTCATTTAAAAACACATTTAAATATGTAGATTTATTTTTCCATTATTTGTTCATTTAAATTGTGATTCATACTTATTTTAATGCTTCAATTACTAAATTGATTATTTTATTCTTTATTTTATTTCTAACCGTCTCTCCTGGTCCTCCATACCTAATGTAGAGTATTCATTTTTAGTTAATCGTGTTTTACAAGATCTCAAATTTATCTGTAAAAAATGTACAGCAACTGTGTTAGACACTCTTTTCCCTTTTAGAAATACCTTGTGGCATAGAGATTTAACAGGATGCAGGATCATTTTCAGATTTTATACATTTTTATTTTTCAGATGTTTTCCTAGTGATGTATAAAGGGGAGAATAACTTTTTATAATTTTAATGGTTTAATAACTAATTTCTTTTGTCTTTGCCATGATGACGGTATGGAATATTTTACTAGTTATTTAATAAGGGTTAATTAGGTTAACAAGGCAAGTTAAGCTTATAAGTCAAGTAATTGGAAAAAAGTGGTTGGTTCTGTAGCCAATAAAAATTAAGGGGGCTAATAATATTGACCTTAGACGTTGAAAACGTTTATTCCAATCAGACTAAAAGAAATAAGACTTGATACTGTGAAAAATGTTCTCTTAAATTTTATTTGGGATAGGGAAATATTTAAAGGAATAACAATTTTGATTTCAACTGTCTCTGCACTTTATTCAAACTAATGTTATAATGTTACAATCAAAGGGTAATCTTCGATCTTTTGAAACCACATTGCATCAGTTGTTGTTTAGTTTTTGTTTCTTCCTCAAGTCCTTAATGTAGTTGTTGTAGTTTTTGAGCCATAAGAGCCTGATGTATTCAATAAAAACTGTAAATTTAAAAAAAAATGTGTAATGTATAAAAATTGTTTGAAGTTTTGATTAATTCCCAGATTTTCAAAAGCAAACTTTTCACACATTTCCCCATTTTTAGTACATATACCATAGCTGTAAAATAACACGCTGTTATCTCCATCTGCTGTGTCTTTGCATCATAGATCTTTAAGATTGAGAGGGAGGGCGAGTATCAGCGTTATCGCCCCTTCAAAGAGTTACCCAACCGCCAGCTGCTGTGGCACGGCTCGCGCACCACCAACTATGCTGGTATTCTGTCTCAGGGTCTCCGCATCGCTCCTCCGGAGGCCCCAGTGGTGAGTTTCTTTCTTTTATCTTAAGATTGGCCCTTTTCACAGGACTGTTATAATGTGTGTAACAGTCATCAGCATCTTAAATCCAATAAAGTTTTTAATATCTTGATAAAAAAAGCATATGAACATTTATATGTATTCATATATGTTATATCATCTTTGCATCAAATTACAAAAAAAAAACTAATTGCCGCTTATGCAAAGTGTTTGCAATACAAAGTCTATGGGGCGGGACAGTAAATTTGACCTTGTTCTTTTTTTCTGGCTGCTGTTATCAGTCTCACAATATTTTTTTTCTTTCTCTGAAAGTCTTGATAACACCATAATCAATTTTTTCTTTAAATATTTCAGCAAATAGGATTGTAAAAACATTACTCATTACTTGTTGTAGTCTCTTATTCACTGCGCTCTAAGTTTTTCCAACTATGATGACTTCTGCTTCTGAGAAACCCGGAAATGTGAAAAGGGTCCATTTGATGAATAGCTGCATTAGAGCCATTTCTTTCTTGATCTATGGTGCTGCACTGTTCATTGTTTTTTTGTTGTTGTTGTTGTTCTCCTATGATATCTAAACTGTTATGTGATCTTTCATACAGACGGGTTACATGTTTGGCAAAGGTGTTTACTTTGCTGATATGGTGTCGAAGAGTGCCAACTACTGCCACACGTCTCAGGCTGATCCTGTGGGCCTCATTCTGTTAGGAGAGGTTGCATTAGGGAACATGTAAGTCATTAAAGATTAATCCAAAGAATCTTGATGATCTCTGGTAGTCCTGCAAGAACCCTTTATTTGCTATTCCAGATGACTTGATTAATCAAGTATTTGAGTTTGCAGAGATGTATGGATGCAGTCCTCCAAGCTCATGAGAGTTATACACAATATTCATTCTTTTTCCACTGCACCATGACTTTATATTCTACATTGGACATTATTTCTGTTAAGCGGCAAGACTTTTGTCTAAGCAAAGTCAGATCTTACTGTCCTAATTAAATCATTAAAAATCAAGGCATGATCATGTTTGGTTTTGGTAAAATAAGCGTAATCTAGAGGCCTTTGACTTTTATATAAGCCACTTTTGATACCAAATGAACAAGTTATCATAAACTTGGATAGGTGACAAGACTTTGGTCTGATAGTGTACATTTAACTTGCTTGTAACTATATGTAATTCTTTTGTAGCATTGTAAATATGTTATTTTCGTCTTAATGAATCAAACATGTATATTAAACATGTATACACACATGCACATTTTCGATTTTGTTCTTTTTGGAAATCAAGCAGAAATAACAAACATATTTTATGTATATTATATCATTGCAGATAGCATTTATTTTAAATATCCAAAACTATTTATTTATTTGTAATAATCCTTTTCTTTACTTTCAAATAATTCAAAGTTTTTTTTTCTTTACTTTCAAACCATTCTTATTTATTTTTCCTTTCGTTTTATTTGTATTTTTTTTTTTTTTTACATTTACTTAATAAATTGAATTTGAATGGCAGTTCATAAATACAATTCAGGAAGACGTTTGTGAAATGGTTCTTTGTCATTGCTGTGTTCTCTCAAAATCTGATTGTGCTTTTTTATTTTTTATTTTCCCCCGCTCTATAGGCATGAACTGAAGAAAGCCTCACACATTACAAAGCTACCAAAGGGTAAACACAGTGTAAAAGGTAAGACTATTCTTTATTTGCAAATAGGTGTTGTTTTTAGCTGAAATGCTGTTTTGTTTTTTGTTCTCTTGGCTGAAATGTTTTTGCTGTTTAAAGGTTTGGGAAGAAGTGCTCCAGACCCAAGAGCTACAGTATCTCTCAATGGAGTGGACATTCCTCTGGGCAAAGGCATGAACACAAATATTGATGACACAAGTCTGCTCTACAACGAGTATCCTTTTGATTTCTGCATATTCATTTGTCTTCTGCTGTTCTTATATAAACGTACACTGCAGGTCAAACATTTAGGATGTGTAAGATTTAAAAAAAAATAATAATAATTTGAAAAAGCCTCACCAAAGCTGCATTTATTTAATCACAAATACATTAAAAACTGTCAAATTAGCTAAATATTAAAATGTAAAACAACGAAATATAATACAAATCTAATAATTCAGACTCACTTGACCCTGCAGAAATTGTTCTTTTATGCTAATTTACTGTTCTATATCGAGCAGTTATTATTGGTACTCAATCATTTGTAATTGTTCTCATAGTTATCAATGTTGAAAACATTTATTTTTTCAGTTTTATGGAAACTGATGCATTTTATCATTTGTTTGAGTCTGTTGAAAAGGAGGCTCAAAATAACAGCTTTTATATTGTTCCATTCTAAACGCATTTACTTTCACTATTAAACAGTTTAATGTGTCCTTGATGAATAAAACAAACCAGAATTACAGGTGCTAATTATATTAGAATTATACTACTTTCAATAAGAAAGCTTATTTAAAATATATTATTATATTATATATAAATAAATTATATATGCAGCCTTGGTGAAAAACATCTAACAATCTTGATAATCCTTAATGAAATTTTAACTAGTGTATATCTCTATAAATAGATTTATTTAACCCTTTGACCACTGTGATCAGTCTTGGTACTTGTCATAAATCAGTGTTTTCAAACCTTCATAATGTTTATTTTAGGATAATCGTATAATTATTAAATCAGGCCTTTATTAGGCAAGACCGGGCCAGTCGCCTGGGAGGTTAAGCAATGAAGCTGAAATCATGTCGCGTTTCCACTGTCGGGCTAGTAATTCGTAGCGCGTCACGCAAGCCCCGCCCCCAGAACTTCCCCCGAATCAAACCTCACACAACCCGCCCACTACAGCGGGAATCAGGCAGAAAAAAAGCACCACCATATCATCATCATTTTGTATTTGCAGTTTTCCCTGATGCGTTATTTATTTATTTGTTTGCTGCATGTACTCATGTGTGATCAGAAAACTAGTGTCCGCCTCTTCTTTCACTCCACCCCGAAGCCCCAGCTGGCCCACTTTGGCCCAAGGTATTCGGCGAGCCGAAAAAGGCCAGCCGCTGGCCCCGAGAAAGTCCCGATTAGGCCCGAAAGTGACCGTGAAAACGCGACTGGCCTTGGCTCGCCCTGGCTCGCTCGCTTTAGGCACTATAGTGGAAACGCGGCTATTTTGCAAAGCAATTGGTTCAGTTGTTTTTCAAAACTTTCAAGAGCTTCATTTCTATAAGGAAAACCAGGGAGAAAGATATGATAATAGAAAAGCGTTATTTGACAAGGTAACATTTAGAAAAACAAACATTTATTTGGCAAAGGCTCTTGTCCGTAGCTTAAATCAGAAGCTTGTTGATTCAGCCAAGTCTCTCTGAGGACGAAGGCAGGGGCGGAGTATACCCCCCAGACTGGGCCAACCTGGTGGTGGATCAACAATTTATTTCATGTCACTTCATGTTAGTCATGTTTAGTTTCTCAACAAATCTTCTGACCAATCAAATGCTCTCTAGTATCTGACGTGCCCCATCATCTTCAAGAGGCTTCACATTTGCTTTTTGTTTGATGCGCTTGATCTCAACTGCTCTCAATGGCGGTGATGAAAACTAAACGCTATTGGCTTTTTTTATAAAGGGGAGGAGCTACTCTGTCCCAGTTTTCTTCACTTTTCAGTTGAGATAACATCAAAATTTCACATTTCAAAGCACTTCACGGGCCCTTTTAAAGCGATGTGTTCAAACCAGTAGTCACATTTTTAATCATTAAAAAATAAAAACATGCAGGGGTCAGTCGGAGTATTTTGAACTCTGTTGTGAAAGGGTTAACTAATGCATTTGTTGTCTTGCTCTTTCCCTTAACTCAAGCTTTCCTCCAGGTACATCGTTTATGATGTTTCTCAGGTTAACCTGAAATACCTGCTGAAGATCCGCTTCAACTATCAGACGTCTCTGTGGTGAGACGCCGGTTAGATCTGGAGAGGTTTTTGGATGCCACTGAATCCCCCTGTTACAGCTTTAGCATCAAGAACCAAACAGCACATGGGTTTAGAAATGATTAAATCCGTTCTCTTGCGCTTTGGCAGCACATTCCCCATTGCTCTAGTCTGTTAGTTTGGAGTACTTTAAGTGGTTCTACCCAAATCACAAACTGCATTGTTGCAAATGTGGCCACCTTTCTACAAGCAACATGATTGGACTTCTCTGTGAAATGTTTCTTTATAAGCTACCAACAGTGGATAGGTAGACTGTCTTCCATATGTTTCATAGGCCTTTTCTTTCTTTTAATAGTTTTGCTAAACCTGGATTCAGGTTACTTGTAACACATGTAGTGTTTACGGTTTTGTTCGGCCTCTCGATTTAAAACAAATAAGAATGTACAGTTTTAGGAAAAAAATGTTGTAAGCTAGGATATAGCCTGCTGCAAGCGAGTAATCTTTTACTAGAATTGCCAATGTATGAACAAGTATTTTGTATGTTAAACATGTACCAACCTAGTTTTGCTTTTTTGAGTTTACTGTCCCTTATTGAAACGTACTTGGGCCATTTGAAATGGCTATCAAAATCTAAGCTGCTGTACTCACGCACCTGTAATAAGTTTTGTTGTTGTTTTTGGCAAACATTTCTCCACAGTATTTGTGGACAAAATAAGTTTCCCAAAAAATGTCTTTGCATCAAAAATAAAACGGTTTTTGGCTTATTATTGTGCTTGAAGCTGTTTTATTTTCGGGGGGTGGTATTTGATTGCAAAAATGTCCTAATACAACTAAATACAAGTAAATAAAATCATACTAAAAAAATTTAATAAAATCAGGGTTTACCACTTTTGATAAATAAAATTCACTACAATAACCTTTTTTGGTCAAAAAATATAATAAAATATTTTTTTTTAATGTGTTTTTTATTATTAAATATTTATTCCAATCATTCAAAACTGAGGGACAGATGAGTTTTCGCATTGATCCCAGGGGCCAGCCTGATCACCCGCTAGTGACCTACACCTGCAGCTTCTCTGCGATGGACATCCAGCGTTCTCAAGCCCCGGTACCTAGCATGCAGCTCTGCACAAGAAGTTTGGCCAGAGGAGAAATAGTCATGCTCAACTGAGCCTGGTTTCTCTCAAGATTATTTTCCTTCACTTTCATCAATTGGTGAAGTTTGGTTTCTCGCCACTGGCTTGCTTGATTTGGGACTTGCGGAGATATGGATCAATGGATTTGCTCTTTAGTGTTTGGACTTTCAGCAGTGAAAAATTTAACCACACTGAGCTGAACTGAACTTCTACTCTGAAAACTGGACTGACACATTTTTAATTCACTAGAACTTCTACATTAAGCTGCTTTGATACAATGCACATCATAAAAGTGCTATAGAAATAAACAAGTTTTCAGCATTAGCATACTTCTGTGTTCGAAGTCACATGATTTTCCTTAAACTATTGTAATTCTGCTAATTTGAATTGAGATTATTTTTTCATAATATTGATGACATTTGAACTGTATGGTATTTTGTGGAATCTTGTGTATTTCAGGATCCCTTGATGAATGGGAATGTCAAAAGAACAGCATTTAGTTTAACTCAGATGACTCAATTTTGTTGAACAAACGTTGATGGGAAAATAAAATGTTAATAATATACTAATTTGTAGTGAAATGTGTACAAACACATGCTAAATGAACATGATTATTATATAATACTTGTTTTAAAATGTTAAATGCAGTACAATTAGTTTGTCATTCTGCAACTTGGCGTTTGTTTAATAAAATTGTAGTTAGTGTAAATATGTAATGCATCTAAAATATTTAATACATAAATATACAGTTTACACCTTGTTTATGTTCTTTTTGTTTGTTTGTTGGTGATCCTGAGATCCTTTAACGGGCCCTGTGTCTCATAGGAGTCACTGAACCACAGCTGAAGCCTGGTCCCGACGACATCTTTTAACTTGTTTTGTACGGCTTGGAACTACAAGAAACTTTCTCAAATGAATCTAATTTACCTCATGGGTCGTAATTTGTTTTTAAGAATCATATTTATGTACAGCAAACACATTTAATGTAAAATGTTTTGTTAGTTAGCGAGCGCTGTGGTGTGTTTGAACTGCCCTCTCTGTCCCACAATGCATCTCGGCACTCGGCCTTTGAAAAACCGGCGCGGCTAATTCAAGATGGCGGAGCTCGAGCAGCTGTTAGACGAGAGTGAGTAATAAAACTAACTCCTCGCTAAACCTTGAAAAATCCCCCTCTGAGTGTTTGTGCGGTTTAAAACGTTTCATAAGGCGTGCTATTCGCCGTACATTTCACGTGTCTTTCATTGTTTTGACTGGTGTTAAAATAGACGCAAAGTTATTAGCGCTGAGGCTAACAAGCTAACAGTTAGCTTTCAAAGCCTACTACTATAAATAAATATCGCACCTGAAGAGTTTTTCGCCTTAAAGTTTCGTTATGGTGCTTTGTTTATAATCAAAATTAATTTAATTACTGGTTTGCGGTTTCGCAGTGGTTATACTATGAAAAGGGTTTAACTTTTATACATTTACAGGGTCGTAACTCGATGACAGCTGCTGGGTTTTGTTGTTCTTGTCAGTGTCAGTTTATTTGTGTACTAAAACACTGTCCGTATGATAAACACATACTTTTAATATGCTGAAACACTCTTCAGGTGTGAAAATGCGCTCTTTGTATGATGCAGTACTTGTGTCTGGATAATTCTCATTCATCACAATAATTCACAGTGATTTTTTTCTTTCGGTCTTACCGAAAGCTTTGTTTTGATTGTATTAATAGGGATAATTGCGTAATCCGTCGTCTGTTATCTTGCTTGATAATTATTACTTTTAATATTTGAGCAGCTTATAATTGCAGAAAGATTATTATTTATTTCTAGCTTTGCTTTATTTAAAGTATCAAAACAATAAAAACATATTACAGCTTTTTTCACTGAACAATAAAACGTCCTGCTAAATTTTAAGCATAAAAAAGGCTATCATACATTTTTACAAGGATTATCAGAAGTAAACCACTAAAATCTTATTGGTGTAACAATAGTTTATCTCATCAGGCTTAGATCAAGAATCATATGATGTCATTATTCAAGAACAATTTAAGAATGGCTGTGCAGCTCTTTTAAATACTAATTTTCATTTTAAATCTTTATATTTTTAGTTTTATTTTATTTCAAACCACATTGTTTGATCAACAGAAGGTTCAAAACATTCTACAATGAAATGAAATTAAGTTTAATAGCACATCATTTTATGAGTACAGGTCAGAATGTTGTGTTAAATTTAATAAAATGTAAAAAGGGCATTAATAAAAAAGGGCATTATTTCCAGCTGCAACCCATCACTGGGAAGCACCCATACACACTCATTCACACACATACACTACGAACAATTCAAGGTCACCCAATTCACCTATAGCGCATGTCTTCGGAGTTGTAGGGTAAAACGGAGCACCCGGAGGAAACCCACGCGAACACTGGGAGAACATGCAAACTCCACACAGAAATGCCAACTGATCCAGCCAAGGCTCGAACCAGCAACCTTTTTGCTGTGAGGCCTATTTTTCATTTTAAATCTTTATATTGTAACTTTTTAATTTCAAACCACATTTTTTTTGTCAACAGAAAGTTTAAAATAATCTAAAATTAAATGAAATTAAGTTTGATAGCACATAATTTTATAAGTACCGGTCAGAATGTAGTATGATATTTAATTAGAACTTAAAAATGCCTCTTAAAGTAGACCATTATTTCAACCATATTTTGATATTTTATTACTTAAGTTATTTAAAGCATTAAAGTCAATGCTTTTCTTCTATTTATATAAGTCAGTTAGGGTTGTTTTATTTTTACAATAAGTAGTGTTGTAAAAACTGACAGTCGTATTCTTTTTTTAAATCTTCTTTTAGTAGAATTTTTCTTACAGTAGTCAAAGTCAGCTTTGTTGTCAATTCAACCACATGTACAGGACATATAGAGAATTAATATTGCGTTACTCTCAGACCCCTGGTGCCTAACATATAATATTTATACAAAAAGTATAATTTTAGAAAGAAAATACAATAAATACAATTGCTCATTTAAAATCTGAAAATATAAGTAAAAATAAAAATTTGTAAACAACACAATTACACTTAAGGGCACATGAGTTGTGCAGATGCAAAACAGTATACTGTGCAAAAAGTATGTATAATAAAAAACATAATAATACAATACAAGATGTTTTTATAAAGCAATTTAAAAACAACCAATGTTGTCAAAAGTGCTGTATATAGGATTACTAAAGACAGAGATGAGAATAAAGTGGAAATTGAAACAATTAATAAATAAAAGCAATAAAAAGCATCAAGGAGTATTAAAAAATATAGATAGGAGCAATTGCAAATGCTTGATCACCTCGTTTTGTTAAAGCATGTTTATGAAGTTGATCATCTAACATCACTAAGTTAAAAATAAAAACATTTCAAGCTTTCCTATTTCTGGGTTGCAGCTGAAAGGGCATCCAGTTTGTAAAACATATGCCGGAATAGTTGGCGGTTCATTCCGCTGTGGCGACCCCTGATAAATAAGGGAGTAAACCGAAGGAAAATAAATAAATGAATAAAAGAAGCGTAAATTCTTTTGTTTTTTGTTGTTGTTTTTTTTTAAAGCAACTTTAAATGTAAAACACAAGTGTAACCACCACTTTATATTGCCTTGGGGCTGAACTATTGTAATACCATGCACTAAAACCACCTTTAATCTGCCTGATAATCGGACTTTACTTCAGTGTTGCATTAATTGATTTTCAAGATTTGTTTTTGTTTGGACTTCTTAATCATATGTTGCTTTTGAAACTGTAATGTATTGTAATATATCAAACTCTTTGTTCTCTTCGCCTTCAGGCTCTTCAGCTAAAGCCCTTGTTAGTTTAAGAGGTACGTTTTTGTTTTTAACACTCACAACTTCAGTAATAGACATTATCACAGAATGCCTTCTAACATTTCCCAATGTTATTATGCTCTTCTACAGAAGGAAGCTTGTCTAATACTCTAAATGAGAAGAATAATTTACCGAAATCTCAGACCACAAGGGGACGGAGCAGTTACGTTTCTATGGAAACAGTAAGTTGCTGTAAATTACTTATAATTTTGCTGCAACTCCAGGTTTGCTTGTAGTAGTAGCAGTTTTACATCTAAGATTGTCTTTTGTGCTGTGATTATTTTGTGCTGTGATTACTGTGTTTGTTTACTGCATTTAAATATCAATCAAATTACAGCTGCTTGATTATGGGAAAAAAATCATAATTATTTTGATCATAATTGTAATCACAATTATGTAAAACAATATATATATATATAGTTGAAGTTAGAATTATTAGCCCCCGTGTTTATTTTTTTTCCCCCAATTTCGGTTTAGCGGAGAGATTTTTTCCAACACATTTCTAAACATAATAGTTTTAGTAACTAATTTCTAATAACTGATTTATTTTATCTTTGCCATGATGACAGTAAATAATATTTGACTAGATATTTTTCAAGACACTTCTATACAGCTTAAAGTGACATTTAAAGGCTTAACTAGGCTAATTAGGTTAACTAGGCAGGTTAGGGTAATTAGGCAAGTTATTGTATAACGATAGTTTATTCTGTAGACAGTCAAAAAAAAATTTAGCTTAAAGGGGCAAATAGTTTAGACCTTGGATTGAATTTGGAAATGG